CCCCCCCCCCCCACATCATCCCCAGCTCCAGGTGTCCCCGCTGTAATGGGGACAAGCAAACCACTGTCAAACAGCAGCACCGCTCCCAAGCAGGCTGTGGAAGTGTCCAGAGTGGCTCTGGACAGCATCCCTGGAGAGCCAGTCCTGGGAACAACTGTCCCCATGCAAGAGGGCACTGCAGCCGAGCCACCCATGGGTGCCGCTGGTGCACTGAGAAGTGCCCCCCCAGCACCAGGCGGAGGTCTGTTCCCTCCAGTGGCACGTGTCCCGACTGCTCAACCAGTGCTAGGGACAAAAGCATCTTCCTCAGTCACTGGCAAATTCACTGATGCCAATGAGCTGGTGCAGCTGGGTGATGCTGTCACTGCAGAGGGGAAACCGGGGACAGCGTGGACCACAGTGCCATTGCTCCCCCAGGACAAGCACAGCACAGGGATGTCACCCCCCAACATCATCAAGAGCTCTGTTGAGCCACATGCAACCACCATGCTCCCATCCCAGGAGGTCACGCCAGGGCTGGATGAGGCCACCTCACCTCCAGCCACAGCAGCCAGCATCTCTCAGGATACAGGCAGCCCTGTGAAGCTGGCAGCAGCCTCAGCCAGCCCTGCCGCTGGCCTCCCCGGGGTCCCACACCCCGCAGCCACAGAGGGAGTCAGGATGGTGGCCCCACCATCTGCAGACCCCCCAAGCACATCCTCAGCAAAGGTTACCTTTTCTTCTGCCACCATTGGCATCGGCGAGGCTACGGAGCCAGGGACACGTGCCTTATCCAACGCCGACCACAACGGCTCGCAGGACCCCCCTGCGCCCCCTGCTCAGACGCCTCCAGACCTTTCACCCCAGCTCCCCGCTGGTGCTGTGCTGGGCACAGGAGAGACGCTTCACCCCAGCCGCAGCACGGCCCCCGACACTGCTGGAGATGGGCTGCCTGGAGCCAACGCTGTCACCCACCCCCAGGCCACCGCACTAGCTCCGGGCACACCAGCTATGGCGATGGATGTCACCGCTGCAGAGCATGTCCCCACTCTGTCGTTCCCAGCTCTGGGAAGTACCGGCGCTGAGCTGGTGTCCATCAGGAGTGAGCCCAGCGCCAGAACCACAGCAGGCACCGCTTCCCCGGAGACCAAGGCCAGCTCAGTGGGGCTCAGCATGAGGCTGTCCCCCAGTGCAGCTCCCGATGGCCCTGGTGGTCCCTCTCTGGGGCCCTTTGCACACTCGATGGGGTCTCTGCTCCCCCAGACTCCCTCAGCAGGCCCTGGGGCCACCACAGCAGAGGTGGCTGCAGGTGGATCCCCTCCAGCCAGCCCCAGCGTGGCCACATCCTTGTCCCTCACGCGTGGTGGTGGAGCAAAGCCAGATGGGGCCCCTCGAGCTGCTGCTGCACCAACATCTTCCCTCGGTGTGTATGGCATCAGGACTGGGCCAGCTGCCCATCCATCCTCCCTCGTTAGCAACACTCCAATTAGTGAAGCAGGGATGGGAACAGCATCGCTGGCCAGTGGCAATGCCACCACAATGCTGTGGGACACTGGAGCCACCCCGGCTGTGTCTGATGCATCTCCCAGCCACAGCCAGCCTGGTCCCATTGCGGGCTCAGCACCCCCGGGAACTGGTGTCACCCTTGGACCTGCACCAGCCTCACCGCTCCGGACTGGGCTCCGACATGGGGCAGCTCCGGGGGCAGAGACGTGGTCACCCAGCGCTGCACCAGGGACAGGCACGGCTGTGCCAGGCACCCTGGGGGTCACCAGAGCAGCCAGTGTCCCCGTGGCGTCGCAAGCAGGCACCCCACCTCTCCTGGAAGGCAGTGCCACTACAGGGATGGCTCTAGGGGTGTCCCCATCCAGCATCCCCCAAGAGACGGCAGCAGGCATGTCCCCACTGTCCCCTGCCACCCCACCGCCAGCAATGGGTGCTTCAGGTGACCTCCACCACAATGGCAACGCTGCGGGGCGAGCGGTGGGGACGACATCCCTGGAGGTAGGCACAGAGGAGAACCCAGGTGCCAGTGCAGCAGGGCCAACTCCCAGCCACGCGATCGTCACTGCCAGGCCATCACCAGAGCCGCCTGCCCAAGGGACCAATGCTCCCGAAACCAGGCCCCCAGTGGATCTGCGTCTCGTGGCTCCCAGGGGCGGGGGCTCCCCCCCCCCCCCGGGGGCGGCCCCCCCCGGCCTTGGCTAACCCCAGCACACCAAACCCCGCCCGCACTGGCCACAGCCAGCCCCCTCCCCAACGCCGCCACTGGCAAGACACCACAGCCTGTGACACCGCCGCCACCCGAAAAGGCAGCCGTGAAGGGAGGTGGGGGCAGGTCCCAGCCGGCAGGAGATGGCAGCACCACGCAGGCAGCTCCAGGCTCAACCCCTGCTGAAAACACAAGGGCGGGTGCTGTGACAGGTACCCCTCACAGCGGTAACACCACCCTGGGGACAGCCCCGTCAGCGTCACCCCCCACCACAGCCAACGTTGCTGCTTGGCCAAGCGTGGCTGCATCGGACCACAGCTATCGCACTGCTGAGCCCACCACGGACTTGGGCATGGACTTGGATGTGGACACGGCTTCTCCCACCACAGGGAACAGGGCTGCCAGGCTGCCCCTGGGGTTGCCCACTCCTATGGCTGGGGTGGCTGAGCCAAGCACTGGTGATGCCACCCCGTCAGCACACTCTGCCCTGGACGGCAAAAGCCCTACAGCAGTGGCCATCATGGGCACGGTGTCACCCACATCTCCGGAGCCAGTTATAGCACCTTCCCCTGGCCTTGCTCGCAGCACTGCTGAGCCAGATGTCAGTGTGTCCCCTCCCGTCCCCAGGAATATCCATCTGGTGGTGGTGGCACCCTCTGTCACCCCCAGCATCACTGTCACTGGTCCACCAGCGGGAGCAGGTGATGTCAGTCTCGACAGGGTCACAACATCCCCCTCTGCTGTCCCCAGCAGTGCCTCCACTCCACACAGCCCCCATGTCACCCTGAGGCGATCTCCTGAGCCCACTGATAGCACCCACAAGCCAGCCTCGAGGGCTCTCAGCCCAGTGGCTGAGGACAAGCCCACAGCTGGGGTCTCCTTGCTGGCTGTTGGTCACACACACGCATGGGAAACTACAGCTGCGTCCCAGTCAGGTGCTGGGGGTACCACTGCCTGGGCGGACACCACCCCTCCTGAGAGCAGCGCTGAGGATGCAGCACCCCCAGCCGGCACCAACAGCACCCATGTGCCTGTCTCCAACACTGCAGACACAAGCCTGGCCACAACACCAGCCACCAGCCTGTTCCTCAGCAACACCATCCTGCCAGCCACCTCAGCCGGCAGGGAGACCCTCGTGGTGACCGGGGCCACCGCAGCCGTGCCATCTACCACAGCGAAGGCCACCAGCACCAGCCGTGCCCTGTCCCTCGCTGTAACACACAACGAGGCAGGCGGAGGCGGGCAACCTGTCCTATCCCCAGCAGCGCGTACCCCCTCAGTGGAGACAGCTGCCAGGACCTGGGGCGTCCTCGGTCCCAGCCCTGCCATCGCGGTGCCTGGTTCACCCCCCTCCAGCCTGCACAGCCCAGCGGAGGACCCAGCAACAGCCCCCTCGTCCCTGTTTGGTGTTGGTGCAACCGGGGAGCCGGCAGCCAGACAGACCTACCCCGAGCCGGCAACAGGCTCCACTTCTCCCACGGCCATCAACAACCATGCCATAGGTCAGGCAGTGAGCACATCACCTCCCAGCTTGCAGACAACTCTAGGGGCACCTGCCTGGGGGGAGAAAACAGCCGTCACTGCAGGCAGCACCACAGCCATCACTACAGGCAGCACCCATCACTGCAGGCAGCGCAG